TGAGGTGAGTGTGTGTGATGATAGGAGAATGCATGTTAGTGTGTTTAATTACGCTTATGTATTCAGCTTTGCTGATTGTGTGTGTTGTTTGTGTCCGGCCATGTCTTTATCTTGGCCCTACGATGATCCATTTTAATGGAGAGTAGTAGGGGCAAGTAGAGATACACTTTTCAGGTATTAAAGCATGTTCTTGACGGGGCATGAGTGAAGAGAGAATCATGCTAGCTTCCATTAGGATATGATGTGTTTTATGCATTGAATATTTTATTATATTACCTTATGGACTAACACAAAAGTTGGTTATTTCGGTTTTGAATAAGGGCCTTAAATGGTTCCAAGTTGTAGTGGATTTTATTTGACTTTGGTTTTGTTGCTTTTCAACTTTACGTTGGTTTGGTTTTTAAATTGTGTTATTTAAATAGTTTTGGTTTTCAAGTCTTCCGCTGTGTATCTTTGATAGTTGCCTAAGCCGTTTTCACGGTGGCGGTAATGTCTTAGATATTCCTAAAACGTATTTTAAAAAGAGTAAAGTGTGTATTTAAAGGAAAGGAATTTCTAGGGTGTTACACATCGGATGCAAAAGAACAAGGTATATCAATAATTTGGTAAGTTCTTGAGTATGGTCAAGAACCTTGAGGTAACTGTTCCTTTTACTGATTTGGTCCCTCAAGTTCCAATGTATGCAAAGATTCTAAAGGAAATGATTACTAAGAAGAAAGACTTTGGTGGTGTAGAAACAATCACTCTAACTGCAGAGTGTAGTGCTATAATGCAAAATAAATCCCCACCTAAGCTTAAGGACCCTGGTAGTTTTTCCATCCCATGTCATGTAGGTTCATTATTTATTGATAAGGCTTTATGTGACTTAGGTGATAGTGTGTCTGTTATGCCTCTTTCTGTTTGTAACAAGTTGAATATGGGAGCTTTAAAATGCACACAAATCACTTTGTAAATGGCAGATCGTTCTATAAAATACCCATTAGGTGTTTTGGAGGATGTCTCCGTTCGGGTTGGGAAATTTTTCATCCCTGTTGACTTTGTAGTTTTGGATATGGAGGAGGATAGTAATATCCCGATCATTTTAGGTAGACCTTTCTTGTGTACTGCATGTGCTGTTATTAATGTCAAGTCTGGATCCCTTACTTTGTCTGTTGGTGATGATACATTGACTTTTAATCTAACCAATGCGATGAAGTCGCCTATGCTTGAGAATACTTGTTGCAGGATTGATGTGCTTGATGAGATTGTGAGAGATGATACGCCTTGTGAGTTAGCTAATGATCCATTAGAAGATGTTCTCACCCTGGAGGTCTCTGAAGGAGAAGGAGATGCAGAGATTGATTCCTTGATTCGTGACTTGGATGCCCCTAACACTAAGGGGTTTGAGGTAATGGAAACTATTTGTTCTACTTCTGAGTCACAAGTTAAAAAGGTAGAGTTAAAACCTTTGCCTCCTCATCTTAAATATGCATTTCTTGATGATAATGAGGAATGCCCTGTAATTGTTAGTGCTAAACTCGATAATAGCCAAGTTTCTAAGCTTTTGACTGTGCTTCACATGCATAAAAAGGCAATCGGGTATAGTATTGATGATCTTACAGGGATAAGTCCTAATTTTTGTATGCATAGAATCAATTGGGAAGAGAATCATCGCCCTTGCATCCAACCACAACGTCGATTGAATCCTAATATGCAAGAGGTGGTGAAGAAAGAGGTCATGAAACTTCTTGACGCGGGCATCATCTACCCCATCTCAGATTCTAAGTGGGTGAGCCCAGTATAAGTCGTTCCTAAGAAAGGGGGGACAACTGTTGTTAAAAATGATAAGAATGAACTAATTCCTACTCGTGTTGTCACAGGTTGGCGTATGTGTATGGATTATCGCAGGTTGAATACAACCACCTTGAAAGATTACTTCCCTTTACCGTTTATAGATCAAATGCTTGAAAGATTAGCAAAACATAGTTTTTTCTGTTATTTGGATGGATATTTAGGTTTCTTTCAGATTCCTATTCATCCGGAAGATCAAGAGAAGACAACGTTTACATGCCCCTATGGTACATTTGCTTATCGCATAATGCCATTTGGGTTGTGTAACGCCCCTGCGACGTTTCAAAGGTGTATGATGGCCATTTTCTCTGATTTCATTGAGAACATCATGGACGTATTTATGGATGATTTCAGTGTTTATGGTTCTGATTTTGATATGTGCTTGCATAATCTTTCAAAGGTGCTTAAACGTTGTACTGATGTCAATTTGGTTTTGAATTGGGAAAAGTGTGATGAGTGACATTTATGGCACTCATTTGATCTTTTTTTGGATGAATTTCATTTCATTTTGTAGCACTTTTACTTAGTTTTCCTTAGTTTTGCTCTTTATTTCTTTACTTTGTGCTTTTCGTAATTAGTTTCTTTATTTTGTGCATTTCCTTGTTTATTCGTTGTTTTTATTTATTATTTGTTTGTTTTCATTTGTTTTCAGGTTATGATCGAGCATGCAAAGATTTCCGAGCTTCCCTTCAACATTTATCATCACATTGGATGCCTTGTGCTAGCATTTTGAGCTTCAAGTTTAGAGAAACTCGATGGGCAAGTCTCAAGACCGGTGCACGCATGCGATGGGGGCATCATCTATGCCACAAACCCACCAAAATGCTCATATACTTACTGCCTACTTTGATGTTCATCACCATCACCAAGTTGTGTGCACAAGGATGATCAAGATCGAAGAAGGGGAGGAGGAGACCCTCCTAGGTGCGGCCGCACAACAGGCGCGTGCGGGCGCACCCCCCTGGGTTTGTGTCTGTACCCTGCTCCGTGCGCCCTCTTCTTCCCTATGTGCGGCCGCATCTGCGTGGGTCTATTTTTGGACGTCATAACCGATTTCTCCCTTGTATATATTGTAGTTTCTTTCCATTTTTGGGGAGATTCAATTTTTGATCAGATTTTCATTAAGAATTCATTTTTAGAGATTAGAGAGTAATTAGAGAGAGAGTTAGAGCTTTGTTCATATTTTTTAGAGAGAGAAACTCTAGTTTGAAGAGAGAGAAATTCATGGTGTATTGTTGATGAATCAAGATTTCTTCATTCCAATTGATCTTTGATCAAATTTTGTAAGGCTACTCATCTTTGATTTCAATATAAGTTTGATTTTAGTTGATTTCATTTGTTTTTCATATGATTGTTGATTGTTTGATGTTTGATTGAAGTTTCATTGATTTTTTTATTGATTTCAGATTTCTTAATATGATCATGATGAAATTGTTGATTAGTTGTGTTTTGATCTTAATTACCATGATTAGTGAGTAGTTTACTTGCTAGGGTAATGGCGAAGCATGTATGAGTAATGGATTAGTGTTAATTGGGGATAATTGATGGAGTTGATGATGAGATTTAACTTGGTTGATGAATCATGTGCATGTGTGTGATTAATTGAAGATTGGCCAACTTTGGTTATTGCACTAGATTGCATTGTAAGTTCACATTGATACGGACCATTGATTTGTGGCTTGCATTTACACGATTGAGGTGTCTTGTGATGTTTCCTAGCTAGAGTTTATCGTAGTTGACGCTAGTTAGACCTCTAGGAGAATAGCTTGATATGCTCTTTTGGTTGCCTGATTGATTTTCCCTCACATTGATTGACTTAGCCAATTTGACCTCCCAATTATCCATCTCCATTATGAATTCATGTGGATCCTAGCCCTAGTGTTTATCATCTTTGATTTTCTACAAGTTTATTTGTTGTCATTAGCTCTAGTTTTAGCATACAACCCCACTTTCGATTTCGGAATAGCTTAGCGCAAGACAATAGACATTCAATCACTATCCTTTGGGTTCGACCCTTGACTTGCTACTATACTTGTATAGGGGTTGGTTGAGTGTATAAATATTGTTTGACCGATTGGGGAGGGTAGTCCAACGACCAACCATTTCACCATCGATCAAAATGGCGCCGTTGCAGGGGAATGGTGTCTTGATTGTGTATTGTTGTTGAGTCTATATCCATTTTATTGAAAAAAAAACACAAAAAGATTTTATTTCTTCCTTTAAGGCTACACTTGTAGCCGTGTTTCTAACATTTTCTTTTGAGATTTTGCATGCATAGCGCTCGTGATCGATCTATTGTGCCTTTTGATCCGGAAATCGAGAGAACACTCTCAAGGAGAAGAATATCAAATCGATCTTTCCAATATAGTTCTTCAAGTGAAGAGGAGTTTGAAGAAGAGATGCAAGAAGGAGGAATGGGACAGAATCCAAGGGTAGCCTTGAAGGAGTAAGGTATTCCCGGTGCTTATAGGTTTGAGAGTGGGATTGCTCCGCCTACAACACCGACGAATGATTTCGAGATATGACCGGCCATGATTACTTTGATAGAAAGGAGGAAATTTAGTGGAGCCAAGAGTGAGAGTCCGTTGAATCACCTAAAGGAATTTGAGAAGTATTGCAATACCATCAAGGTGAACGACATTTCTCAAGAGTTCATTCGGCTAAGGTTGTTTCCCTTTTCTCTCATTGGTCGTGCCTTAGAGTGGTTGGATAAAGAGGTTAAGCCTAATTCGCTTAGAACATGGGATGATGTTACTAGAGCTTTCTTGTCTCGCTTTTACCCACAAAAGAAGACGGCGGAGGCTAGGGCATTAATCCAAGGATTCAAGCAAAGGCCTAATGAGAATCTCTATGAGGCATGGGAGAGGTACAAGGAGTACCAAAGAGAATGTCCACATCATGGGATTCCTACTTATCAAGTGATCCAAATTTTCTATGGAGGCTTGAGTGCTCAAGGCAAGTCATGCCTAGATGGAGGAGCTGGTGGTCCTATGATGAATAGGACGGAGGAAGAAGTGGTAGACATAATTGAGGATGTTGTGAGATACTATAGAGATTGGAAAGAAGGAGAGAGAGAGTCTACTGGCAAGAGTGGCACAACGGTCTATTCGGTGGATCAACTCAATGCAATCAACAACTTGTCATCATAAATTTCAAATCTAGGGAAAGAGATGACATCAATCAAAGCGAAGCTTGAGAGTGTGTCCGCGAATTCTTTTAGTCTTCCCTCCCAAACCAAAGGGAGAGTTACAATCTCTAACTCTTCTCCTTCTACTTCTAATAACATGCCAAGTGGTTGTGTGTTTTGTCATTTATGTGGTTCTTATGATCATGATTCTTCCATGTGTTCACAAGCTTTTGTTGATGGATGTGATGATGTTAAAAATAATGAATGTGAACATGTGAACTTTGTGTCTAATGATAATGGTGGTCAAAGGTTTGAAGGACCTAAGAACTTTGGTAATAAGAATTCTCACCCTCAAGGAGGTGGTTTCGATAATTATAACAATGGAGGATATAGGAACCAAGGAAACCAAGGTTTCCGAGGTAACTATAACCACCAAGGTTATAATAATCAAAACTCAAGCCATGGGTATGGTAATCAAGGCCAATCTCAAGGTTTTGGTAACCATTACCATAATGGTGGCAATAGTCAAGGTAGAGAGAGTTGGAAAAACAACCAAAATAGGGGAAATTCAAAACAACAATCAAAGGGGACCCCTCCCGGTTTTGCTCTAAAGTCCCAATCCAATGGTGAAAATTCTTATTCCCAACCATCATCTTTTAAGACAAATTTGGAAGAATTGATTGATAATCAAACTAAGATCATTAACACCTATATGGCGGTTAGTGATAAGAAGTTTAATGAGATGATGACTCATAATAAGATGCTTGAGACACAAATAACCTAACTTGCAAACACTCTTAAGGATTATGCTAGTCCTTCCTCTTTGCCTTCTCAAGGGGTGGAACCGAAGAAACCCGTGTATTCCGTAATCACTAGGTGTGGGAGAGTCCTTAGTGAGGGAGTTTCTAGTTCCGTAGAGGAAGATTAGGAGAGGAGTGTTTTGAGGGAGGAAGATGAGAGGATTGTGTCCAAGGATGTTGACAAGGGTTAAATCGGTCGCTACAATCTAACTCTCAATCAAACAATACTTATACGAACACCCTATAACCAAGTACAATGGCAAATAAAGGTTCGGTCCACGAGGAACGAGAGTAATTGCAAATCAATCTTAAACCTAAGCTAGTTCGAAATCAATGGAAAATGGTGTTCTAAAATACTACTAATAAGATGGAATAAATCAATAAACTAAGACACTAGGGAGAACGGGAATCCGCCTAACCTTTGGTAACTAAGCAACAAGGAATCACAGAGACAAACGGGATATGCAAAGACTATAAGTCTGATCAATATCATGTGATAGGAAGACAACGGGCAATACTAAGCTTGGATTTCTCATGCACTTAACATTACTCGATACATAATCAAACCACATTAAATAATGAAATACTCAATTCACAATCTCTTGTTCAAATCAAGAATATCATGCAATCAAATTCAAGATTCTAGGTTAGCTACTCCTATTATAATGAATTAACATGCAATCGCATATAATCAATTTAATCACAATCCGTTTATCAAAATCAATCCTCAATTACATAGATTACCTAGGCCGGGTTTCATCCCGAAACCCTAGCTAGGAGACTACTCACACATATTCATAATCAAAGCAATAATGAATTCCAAAAGCATAATAGATATAAACATGAATTCTGATTAAGGAATAATAAAGCTTGATTAATAAACAAGAATGAATAATACCAATTGTATTGATGCGAATCAATGGAAAAGTTCAGAACTTTGATATCCGTCGTCAATGAATAATACAAAGAACCTTCGCAAATCTTGCTTCAAATCAATCCAAGAAAACTAAAATCTCTAGGAAATTCTCTAAGAAAACTAATGAATCTCTAATACTAAGAACGTTCTCCAATAACTCTCTACAAAGGCTCTCAAAACTATCTCTAAAACTGTCTTTTAATCCTCTTAAAGTCGGGCCTTATATACGTCTTCTAATTCGGAGAAGTCAAGCGCGCAGTTAACCCTGGATCAGCACGACCGTGCTGTATTTGGCACGGCCGTGCTAGCTTGTCAGTAAGTAAACCGGGTTTCTTCTTCAAATTGGCACGACCGTGCTATATATGGCACGGCCGTGCAGCTTCCTGGCACGGCCGTGCTAAAAATGACACGGCCGTGCTGAATATGCTCTAGCACGGGGCGCATACTTAAGCTGACACGGGCACGGGCAACATCTGGCACGGCCGTGCGGGTGCGTGGATACTGACACGGCCGTGCTATTGGCTTGCACGGCCGTGCTGCCTTGCCTGGGGTTGCTTGCTTATAGGCCAGCACGGGTGTGCCTATGGTAACACGGCCGTGCTGCCTATGCTATGTAATCAATGCACGACACTTGAACTTCCTTAACTCCTCGGACTCCGGTCAAGGCTAGCTCGGTTACGCATCAAGGGCTCGGGATCCGATTAAACTCGGTTGATATTACCTGAAAACACATCAAAAACAATCCGAAAACCCGTGAAGCACGTAATATGGGGAACGTAAGCATAATAAGGTAATAATCGGCGCCAAAGCGGCCCCAAATACATCCAAAATCATCCTAAAATATGCTCTAAAGCGCGCCCTAAAGTGCGCTTGTCAAAACCCCCCAAGCTACACTTTTGCTAGTCGTCGAGCAAAAACCAAGGGATACTCACACACACAGGATCAAATAAACTATTGCCATTACATATAAATCCAATTTAGCACGGAATGAAGTCAATGGATCCTACTTAGAACAAACCATGCACGGAATGAAAACTCACTCAAACAAGCAACGAGACACACAATCCAAGGTATCGTTGATCAAAATGCAAACAAAACCTAAACCAAGCATAGAGAACAAAGAAGTCATGCTTCCCTCTAAACCCAACCAAACCGGCCACGTCCTCCCCTTTTGCTTCAAATCACCACCCTAATTGGCCCCTCGTGATTCCTCGAAGGAACCGGAAAAAGTGATATTTTGAGGAAATAACAAAGGTATCCCGACATCTCGATTACGCATAATCTTTCCACCGTTTGAGAACCGAACACCTCTAAAGTCTAAGGGTCTTAAAAGGGTTGTAATGTATTGGCAATGGGTAAGGTAGGTGAAAACAATTTAAAAAAGTGGGGTTAATTCCTAAATGAAGCGCAAGAATCACAATTCTCAAAAACAATAGTTCAAAAGGTGTAATTCACTTTCCACAATCTCATTGATTCACATTCTTACACATCCCGAATTATCCATATAATACACACTCAAATGACCTCTTTCAAACTTCAAAACTTTATTTATGTGTCCTTGCCTTTTTCACAATTCGGACGGCTTTTCTCCTTTTTTTTTATTTTGATTTTCTTTTCCTTTTTTTTTTCAAAAACAAATTTTCATATTACATCTTTACAATTAAGCGCACTTTCAAACTTGCTCAAACCAACTATCGATCATTATTCTTGATTTATACACAATAAGCTCAAACAAACCTTGCGAGGTAAACGCTTCACAACTAAGGGTTGGTAAAACATCGGCCATCGGGTTTGTAACATGGGTAACCAAGAATGGAATTAAAGGCTCAACATGGTTAGCAAGTAAGATGATGTAAAAAGAAAATTAATTTGTAACAAAACAAAAGGAACAAAATAAGAAAAATGAAAAAGGTGCCCTCTTCCTCCCTTAAAAGTGTCAAGTCGGTCTCGGGAGCTACTAGTCAACACAAAGATCGAAAAATGCGTAATCAAGGATCCAAATATGCCACTCAACAAGAATGATGAAGGCTAGAACAAATAAACCTCACGGGATCTAAAAAACAAAGCAACTACCAATTAAGGGGATCAAATCCACAAATGGGAAGCGACTCCATCTTACCACAGCCCAAAGGCATAGAGTTTCACATGACAAAAGTGTTCTAACCAACTACCTTCGCCTAGACTCGTCTACATTGATCAACAATAGACTCAAACTGTGCATTCATTACTGGCTTAAGTAGAAATAGATATTCCACACACATTCATTCACGTTTCGAATCCAAATATGAGCATTATTCCAAAAGTTTATGCAATTAGACAAGTTTATCACGATCCAAAAATATAGGAAAAGACTATGAGGCAAATCATATAAACTAGACTACACATTCTCATAACAGAAGCTTTTCCTATATTGCACACATATATAAACAACTAAGTAATCTAAACAAGCTAAATGGCTCATAAAGAGGCATGAAAATCACATAATAATCCCAATCGACAAACAAGTGATCGAATGATATCAACATCAACGATCCCAGGTTCCTTAGAATCGATCAAACATCCTCGAACCATTCAACTTCCTCCTAAACTAAACTATCCTAAGCACACAAAAAAAAGAAAATATCTCACCAAATTTGCTTCCCGGGAGCTCCAATTAACGGCCATAGCATCGTTCTTCAAACTCATGCCGCGTCTCGAATGTTCCCAATCTGCAAAAAGGAAAGACATACTAGCAAACAAGTTAAGGTTAGTCTAGGAAAGCAGTAAATCTTTTTGTTTTTGTTTTTCTATTTTTTTTTTTTTTTTTTTCGAAAGCAAATAAAAACTAAACTACCAAAAATCCAAATCCCTAAATACAAGTAAGACCCCCCAAGCTAGAATCAAACATTGTCCTCAATGTTTACACATCAAGGACTTACAATAGTAAGGAGAGGGAGGTAACTAAAGGGAAAGGGAAAGGGATCACGAGCTAGGCCCGCCCGGGCCATAAGGGAAACGGGAGGCCATATCATCAACACTCCTCTTCAGGTCTCTGAAGGCGGAGGTCATATCCTCGTTGGACCGGCGCAAATCCACTACCTCAAGCTTCAAATCTTCCATTCCTTGGCGGAGCCAGGCGAAGTCTTGCGCCGGGATCTGCTGGGCCGTATCCGGGCCACCCTCCTCGTCATCATCATCATCATCAGCATCGTCACCTCCTTGGCCCCCGTGGGCCTGCTCATCCCCCTGGTGAGGCTGGGGATTGCGGTCTACATACTCCGTGCCTCCGTCCTCGTTCCAGGCGAAGTCGGGGTCGAAGATCCTGTTGTCTTTGTTGTAAACCACCGCCCTCTCCGGATCGGGCAAGTAGGCGTATGGCTTGCCTGCTACGAGCCACAAATAGAAATCCGGCTGGGATGTCCCTTCAAGCCACTGCATGGCTCTCAAGGTGCGCATATCAAGCCTCGTAGTGCCTGGGATAGCCTGCAATTCAGAAAAATCAATCCCATTATATTGCGCAGGAATGGTGATCATGCCACCGATAGTAATATCACCCCTACCCCGGGCTACACCGTCGAGGTGGTCTAGTAACCACGCTCCCATGTCTAGACGCCCGTCCCCACGGGTGAGGTACCAAATAAACTGTAACTCCCTAATGGAGACTACACCCGAACTATCTCCTCTAGCAAAGATAGTAGAGAAGAAGGTCCTGTGGGACAACCGAAAGGCGGGATTGACGATGGAAGTCGCCTTATCCCTACGGGGGTCTCTATCCATTTTCCCCGTGATTTGCCGCCAAAACAACTTGGAGTTGTAGTGTTTTGAGTGGCCAACCTTACGACCATATTTCAGGTCGGATGTCCACCCAAAGGCGGCATTAACTTGGGCCACCGACATTTGAATGGTTCCCGAGTTCATTAGTTGAAAGGACAAGTACCGGGGTGAGTTATTCTCATCCCGATGCACGTACAAAGAAGATAAAAACTCGAGGGTAAGCCTCTTGTAAGTGAGAGCATGCATGGTAAGGAAAGAATCAAAATTGGTAAATGAAAATAGTTGAACCATGTCGCTTTCGATCCCTAGAGCCCT